AAAGCAAGAAATTGCAAGTAGATAAATAGGGACCCCTTCGGTGGGAAGGTAACAGCGTTCCGTGCGCCTTGGTGTTTAGTCATGCCGGCCGCATGGCCACGGAAACTTCTTCGGACAGCGCTGGCTCTTCGGCTTGGAAACGGAGATGAGCACCGCAACCCTAGAGTCGGACTCGACTGGCTTTCGAGCAAGGGAAACCTTTACCTTTACTTTAGATGAGTCAGAGACCAGTACCCATCTTCCTCCTCCTTCAAAGACTGATAACAGCGGAGTGTGATTTCAATTGTTTGCGGAGGGAAGGGTTAAACCTAACCTCCCCTCAATCATATTGTTATCCCGCCCTTCCTCCAGGGACCTCAGAGTGTACATTCCTCTGTTTAACCCTCATAACAACACAGGGAGGTAGGCTGCGTTTCCAGCAGTGGCCAGCTCCATTCCCGCCCTTGGGTAAAAGAGGATTTGAACCTGTGTCTCCTCAGTCCTGCACCTCCTCCATGGCAACACATCAGCTCTCAATGCAAAAGTGCAGGACGGGGACCAGATGTCCCTCTGCCTTTGTCAGCCGTCACCCTTACCAACGATATTTTTTGGTGCTAAAGCTCGCGTCAATGAATGAGTGAAGTAGTGGTAAGTGCCATTAAGACGCAGGTGACTTATGGCAAGATGTCCTAGTCCCGCTGCACACTGCATTGGTCAGACCGCACCTGGAGTTTTGTGGGCACTTCTGGAGGCCTCACTTCAAAAAGGATGTGGACGGAATGGAGCGGGCGCAGGGGAGAGCGACGAGGATGATTGGGGGCCTGGAGACCAAGCCCTGTGAGGAAAGGCTGAGGGACTGGGGAATGTTCAGTCTGGAGAAGAGGAGGTTGAGGGGGGACAGGATTGCTCTCTTGAAATATTTGAAGGGCTGTCACTTAGAGGAGGGCAGGGAACTGTTCCTGTTGGCAGCAGAGGAGAGGACTTGAAATAATGGGTTTAAATTAAGGGCGGGTGGGTACTGGCTGGATCTTAGGTAAAGGTAAAGGTTTCTCTTGCTCAAAAGCCAGTCCAATCTGACGCTAGGGTTGCGGTGCTCATCTCCGTTTCCAAGCCGAAGAGCCAGCGCTGTCCGAAGATGCTTCCGTGGTCATGTGGCCGGCATGACTAAACACCAAGGCGCATGGAACGCTGTTCCCTTCCCACCGAAGCAGTACCTATTTATCTACTTGCAATGTCTTGCTTTCGAACCGCTAGGTTGGCAGGAGATCATGCCATATACCACCCTCCAAAGCAGCCCTTGTCTCCAGGGGAACTGATATTTGTCATCTGGAGTTCATCTGTAATTCCAGCTCTCCAGGACCCTACCTGGAGGTTTGGAAACCTACCAATAGGCCCCCAGTTTTCAATTCACA